CTGTAGGATCTGGTGAATCCAAGCCACTCTTAATAATACAATTAATGTAATATTGATCCTTCCTTTGTCCTTCACTAACTAATAACCTGCAAAATGTATTGACATTTTCAGGAAGGCAACATTTCTCATTGAATTAATAAGCAATGCAAAATTGCGAGTACTTTTTTTTTTTGTAGTAATACGGAATAGTTTGAAAAAAAAAGGAAGTAAAAGAATGTGACACCAGGGCATTGCATGACCATTTCACTAGCAAGAGCAGATGAGTAGCACAGTACTTTCTGCGGGCAGTGCTTACTGTGTGTGCATGCCTCGGTACACTGTTCATGACCACAGTGAGAGTGATAAACGCATAGAGGCTTAGTGTTTTGTTCCAATTACTATAGAAATTTAAGTTCTTTTTAAATGTTTATAGAAAGTCATTTTAAACAAAAACATGTCTTGCACAAGAAAAGGTGGCTCGTTTCTGTGCTGACTCATGGGGTTTTCTCAGACTGGAGAGCAGTCTGCAGTGCAGTCCTACCGCTATCTAGGAAAGCTGCTTAAAGAATAACTGATAATGAAATATACTCATAAACTAGTGGGTAGATATGGAGCAAATATTTTCTTTTTATAGAGTACAGCATATAAAACAGTACTACTTTAATGCAACAGCTGTTTAGCATTTTCATACTGTTCAGATTTGATATAGCCTGATATAGAGTCCAAAGAGGAAATGTCCATACATTTCATTTTCTGATGAAGATTTTTCTTAAATGGATGTTTTAAAATTAAGTTAATGAAAAATGAAATGAAAAATGAAAAATCAGTAAATTAACATCCTGTATGATAAAGTTTTTATATCAGTCCCTGTAAATTCCTTAGGTGCAGTGACAATTGCTGGGGTTGCATGACTGTTTGGAGGCAAAAACTAGTAAACATGATCGAGGACCTTTTCATCCCTGTGACATTAATCTGCTTTGATACAAGGACAAGAGGTTTTGAAGTGATTTTTGCAAATGAACCAGAAAAAAATATGTTGGCAGGTTTGAAACTATCTGCTATTTCTCTGCAAAACATAACACTGGAAACATCCTGTGGCCATAGAGGATGTGATGTTGCTGATTGAAAGACATCTGAATGTCAGTGATTCAGCATCTGAACTTTTGGCACTACGACAAGACATGTACTGTTACAGCACTGTACATGACATGTAGAGGG